TAAACCCCCAAAGCCCAATAAACCCTAAACCCTAAACCCTAAACCCCCAAAGCTCAATCAACCCTAAACCCTAAACCCTAAACCCTAAACCCCCAAAGCCCAATAAACCCTAAACCGCTTGTTCAGGCTCGCAAGATTCCAGGGTTCCGGGGTTGAGTTTAACATTTGGGTGGTTGTCAAAATTAGGGTCCCTTTTGGGGTTTAGGGTTTAGGGTTTAGGGTTTAGGGTTTAGGGCCTTTTGGGGTGCCCTAAATAATAGGTGCCGTATTATAATAAGGACCCAAAAGGGGACCATAATTTTGACAACCACCCATTTAGATCTAACAGGCACTCGGTCTAGCGCCACACGCTGAAACCTTTGGATACACCCTAAGACCCTCAACTCTAGCCCAAGATCTAGGTTCAAGACGCTTTGCCCTAAACCCTAAACCCTAACCCCCCCCTTGCCCTTTGATGTGGGGAACGCTCCTGCAAGTACCTCCAAACCTTCCCGAACCTGAAGAGCTCAGACGTTGTTAATTTTGTTAATGTTTAATCATTTAGGGGTTGAGGGTTTAGGGTTTAGGGCTTAGGGGTTTAGGGTTTAGGGTTTAGGGAGTGTAATCCGCATGCAGCATACACATAAGGCGATTGGGCTCTTATGGCCCAGCTCAATCAGCATTCTTCTGTCTCCCGCCAATGCCTTAGTAGTCAGGTAAGTGCCGAAACCCGAAACCCTAAACCGGGGTTACTATGACTGACGCCTATAGCTGGGGTACACCGGTAAACCTTTAGCTTTAGTCTTGCCAGGAAACTGGACAAGTAGATGGGTTCTGTAATGTTTTACCAGGCTTTTCCGGGGTTTAATATATGGGGTCGGGGGCATGATGTTATAGTTCCACTGACTCCCCGGGATGAAGTTGTAGCAGAGTTTGATTTTTGCACCATGTTGTTCGTTACAAAGTCCAACCCTGAAAATCAGTCGCAAGTACTCCTGAACCCCATACTAGAAGCTTGAAAACCCTGAACCCCAAACCCCCAACCCCAAACCCTAAAACCCTTAAAACCCTAAACTCATTATTCAACATTCAATCCCGAGCTGCCAAACCTTCCCCGGCATGACGAAACGCAACCCAGAACTAATTAGAGACTACCTATAGTCTCCATTGTAGTTCCTTTTTGGTTTAACCAAATATATACTAACGAGTTTATAAGGTATCCCCAAAAAGGAACTACAATAGAGACTATAGGTAGGTTTTATAGGGTTTAGAGTGTCCTAAACCCTGACATGAGGGTATGTTACGTCGACCCTGCTGCGCCTGAAGTTAGCCATATGCTATAGGAAGAGTTATACCTTTTACCACGCAGCGGCACCGCGTCTAGTGTTTCATTAAGGCTTTTATAACCTCGTGTTTCAAGTTAAGGTGATGTTTCGCCTGGTAAGTTGTTGCGTATTCCTGCTGCGGTTTTCCTCAATATAGTTCGTGAACTGGGTTGAAAAATCATGAATGCAGAGATTTCAGATAATTACTCCCTTCAAGGGCAACAGGAGATATCAAGATAGTA